TTTTTTTTTTTTTTTTTTTAGAGTTATTGATGTTGATTTTATGTTTTTAAAAATACAGATATATATTTCTGACAATATGGGGAATTTGAATCGAGCATTTGAATATTAATATGAGCTTCACAATGATTCTATAGATTTTTTTTTTTTTGGCAATTATTGTTATAGATTTCCACATAGGTTTAAAATCTGATATTTTTAATACTTGTTTATAACAACAACCAAATCTTGAACCGAAACACACATTTAGTAACTCCTTTTTGAAGAGTTCAATCCACGTGATTTCACTGTGGAGCCTTTTTTAATAGTTAATGCTACGAATTTCACGATTTTTTATTTATTTATTTTTTTTAATGTGATGATGACAAAATGCTTAAAAGGAAATAATTAGTGTATTTTTCGCCTACTAAATGTGAGAATATTGCCAATAATATTGGAATAAAAAGAATATTACATATTCAATTGAAAAAAAATTAGATACAATTTTATTTTATCAATTCTTTTTCTTTTCTTTTGCAAACACAACATTTTTGTTATTTTAAATTCGAAACATGTATATTTGTTATCATTAAAAGTATCTTGCAGAAAGATATTACTAGAGAGGTTTGTTGCAAAAAGTCCAAAAAAATTCTGCCACAAGACTGGGACATTACATAAAATTACAAGATTACATAAAATTACAATAGATTGCTCTTGTATTATGGCATATGCACATAGCACTGTACTGTTGCATACACAGAAAAGTGATTTAGCTAAGAAAAAATATTATTTGAAAGAGACATAAGTGTTCAGCCAGAAAATATAATATCTTACCAATTAAGGCAGCATCTTTCTTGCTGTTATAAGAATATTCACAAATATCTTGTAGTGGCCTGGTAAGGTTCAAATCATTCCACATTGTTAGATAAATCAATTTCACACAAGATTTAAAGATAAATCTAAAAACAAACATAAAAGTTAAGTTTAACACGGATCGAATTTGATATTATCTTATACATCATGTATTTTGGTGCATTTCAAATGTAGGAGCAATAAGGTAGCAAACAATATAAGAATATAAGTATGATAAAAATCTGGCATATAAATCAGGGGTCTGTTTAGAAGAAATTTGGGTCCGTTAACGGACCCTTCACAAAATATCTTTTCATAAAAGCGGACCCTTCACAAAATATTTTAACTCAAAAACGGACCCTTCACAAAATGATCTTTCTTTTAATCGGACCCTTCACAAATTTCTTTATCTTCATTATTATTTTATTAATCGAATAAACCCTTTCCAGGGCAGAAAACAAGAAAGATGGATGTAAACGAATTTAGTTTTGTCTTCAGCAGACGATTCTTCCATCATTCGTCCGAAATTAATATTCTGCTTTCAGCAGTATAGGCTAAATATCAAATATTTGTATGTTGCATCTCTAATTTAGAAGCAGCAATTGTTGTTTATTTTTTAAAATTTAATTTTTTTAATTATAATTTTACAGTGTTGAGCATAATCTTGTATGTCTTTACAATTTAAAAACTCTTTGAAAAAGTTTTTTTTTTGCAATAACGGACCCTATTTGCACGCATTCATAAAAGCGGACCCTAGTTGAAAGAATGTGAGTAATTTTTTCACAATTTCACGAAAAACGGACCTTTCACAAAATGTCTGGACAGACCCCTGTAAATCAAATTGAAAATAAACAACAACAAAAACATTTTATGCCATAAATGCAACAGAGAAAATTTGACATAACTAAAAACTAAATATTTTACGGTTGGTTAAAACTAAAATATTTTACACATTTTCTTTTGTACCCTAAAAGTAATACATTTTTCTCAATTATCTAATAAGTTTATTAGACATCCAATTTATTAATTGAAGTTTTATTTTCAATGGAAACTGATAACAATATAAATAATCAATTAGTATTTATAGCAATAAAAATATTATTATAGCATTAAAATTGAGCATTATGGCAAATAAATTACTGATTTTATCAGTTAAATTTAATGGTTATAAATTTTGTATCAATTTCATATAAACCTAGATATTATTAAATTGAAAAACTTATAACCATGTAAAATGTTTGTAATACTGAGAAAAAGTTTATAACAACAAAAGAGCAGCCATATAGATATTTTGACAGCAGAAAAATCTAAATTTCAGTTTTGCATGTAATGGTTTGCAGCTTTTCAAAATAGACGTCCTCTAAGAAATATTTAAACTAAAATTACTTTTAAAACTCACACAGAACTATATTGTAAATATTAGGAATACGCAATAATCTGAAAGCTAGATGCAATAATTGAAAATATATCTGTGACTCTCCTAGGCTAAAAATAAGCAAATATTTTATAACTTACGAGAAAAAATTTTAATTATTGTTTCAAACTTATTTAAGTTGACAAAAATTTCAATTTTGGATTTTCAAGTCCTGATGATTATTGCCTGTTTCAAAAACAATCAGAACATGAAATTTTTACACAATTTTACTTTTTAACAGAAAATGTTAATTAACCAATATTCATAATTAATTATGCTAATTAACCATGCCCATAACAAATATAGTTCAAGGAATTTTTGAAAATTTAAAAATGAAAATAATTTCTCTTCAGTAAAAAATTACAACTTTTAAAATTTCTTATTTTATTGAAGAGAAATAACACAGTCATTAAAACTAGGAGTTTGAAAATAAAAATAAAGCAGGTGAGATTAGTTATGTTGATTAAGCAAGCACTAGCTTTAATTTTCAGCAAGCAAATTTTAAGTGTTACAATAAAAGTTTGAAATGTCTGTTTTTTTTTCTTTTTGTGAATAGTAAAGCATGCTCACATAGCTAGATTTTTTGAAACAATGTTATATATTTGGTATGCTATTTCCTTTTGGTCAATGAACACAAAATCATTTGAACTTCTTTCAGTTTTTCATCCTACAAATTGGAGAGCCTACCAGCCCTAAGCTTTAGATATAGGTGTCCTAAAGGTGGTACTATTAGTGTTACAGTTGAGCTATTTGGTAGGGCTGCACATCAGAATATTTTTGCTCTTAGTAAACTAATACATCACTGTCTAAAACGTAAACTCTTTAAATATAGTTTCTGAATCTTAGAAAATTGAAATTATTTTTTTTTAAACTTTTTGAGACTTTAAGCTTATCTAGTATATTATTTGCAGTACTTTATACTTTAATCTAGGATGGTTAATATTGATACCAATTGTATCGTATTAAAGAATATTAAATTGATTATTAATAAAAAACCTGATATCCCAGCAGGTCCAGAATTTGATTTATCTTCCATGCAATATCCTCTGAAAAAAAAATTTGAGCTAAAAAATTTTTTTTGCACTATTGGGAAGGGGGCAATATTTTTAAAAACTCTAAGCATTTCTCTACAATAATTTTAATAATCCTATTTTTATTCATTGAAAAAAAATTAAAAATTTGAAAATATTTAATGGAACATGAACATTTTTTTTAAGTTTGTCTTTAATTAATTCTTAAAAAATAAGTTTACACAAGAAAGAGTATTTTCTTAAGTCAGTTACAAAAGTCAACACATGTACCTACATTGAATTTCTATGATAACTTTTTGATTGGAAAATATAATACTTTAAAATAGTTTATTTTTTGACATTTTGTAAAGCTTACAGAACTATTTTAATTCCATTTTCAACTATTTTAATACAAATTATGCAACTAAACTAAACTCAGTGGTACGATAGCCCTTGAGGGCCAAGGCCTACTGTGCCCATCTCAGTTTTCATGACCTTGGGCTCTGGGGTGCAGGAGCAGATGTTCCAGTTATTCGGCAGCATGCTTGGTATTCATTTATCGACCCACTGAAGGGATGACAGGCTGAGTGAACCTTGCCCGGCCAGAGGACCGAACCCAGGACCTGTGACACGGAAGCGCGAAACGCTACCACTCAGCCACCGAGTGTCATATAAATTATGTATCAACTTAATATTAAGAAAGGGAAAGTAGAATCTTCAGTAGATTTTTAAATTTTAGAAGTTTTATAAATATTTAGTGTTACATAAAGATTTGGTTATTAAAAGATGAGTTAGCAAGTAAAAAAAAAACAATTCCAATGGCACTGTAAAATATTTATTAGTAATTTGTCATGGGGAGATTACCGTATCGTGATCAGTGACAGAATAATCGCCAATTCTTGGAAACGCCAAGTCGAGAAACTAAAAAAAACATCACTGAAAGGGACCAATTCGAAACGTATAACTCGTAGCCACCCCCGGGCAAACATCTACATGGTATTTTTTAAAAAATTTGCAAGTTTAAAATCTATTTGGCACCTTGGCAATTGCAGTTGCTGCGACAGATCACAATACGGAAATATTCCCTTTGTTAAAACGAGTAGCTACTATTAAAAGTAGCAATCAAAAAAATCACACAAAAAATAAATAATTTTTTAAAGCCATCATAAGTAAGATAGTTTCATGAAGCATTAATTGTATTAAAATAGCTGCTTCACTTTATTCAAGGTTCCCCCTCAATTTCAGAAAAAAATTCCAACTTTCCAGGCAATTTCAATGAAAATCCGTACCATATTTTATCTGTATCATGCAATTTTCTATCAGAAAATTTTGTAATGTCAAATATTAGATTTTATGAGCAAAAAAAATATAATTAAATGAGAATGACATGGAAAAGTTTCACTAAAAAGTGGAATTTTATAAGATAACTGTAATAGATGTTAGAACTATTTAAGTCGAATCTCAATAACTTATTACTCTTACCATCGATAATCCTAAAACTGGTTATTTTCCAGGTATGCTATAGGAATATGCCATGTTTTTTGTAAAAAAAAATTTTTTTACTCAGACTATTCCCTGATTTTTAGAGTTAAAATAAAATTCCCTGACAATTCCAGGTTTCACCTGACCCGATGGAGCCCTGCTTGCAGTAATAAATTTCTCTTAATTACTGATCGGTAATGTTATTCCGATAAGATTATTATTCGGGTGCATACTTACTTCAGAAATTGACAATTAGAAATTAAGTTACAGAAAACTGCAGATGGTTCATTTTCAAGAGCATTAACACAAATAATGAAAGTTAAGAATTAAAAAAGCTAAATACAGATAAAATTTCATAGATTACATAAAACAGTTTGAAAAATAAATAGTATTTCAAATTTACTCACGATTGAAAATAGTTGTTTAGCATAGGAGTTTTTGACTGCCTATTTCTGTACAATAACTGATTGCTGAAAAGTTAAATTTTAAAACAGTTACAGTTTCTGCCTTCAACGTCAGAAAGCAGCAAAATCAACAAAAAATCCTTCACTGCGTTGTTGCTGTTGTTAATTTACGTCGCACTAGAGCTGCACAATGGGCTATTGGCGACGGTCTGGGAAACATCCGGAGGATGATCCGAAGACATGCCATCACAATTTTGATCCTCTGCAGAGGGGATGGCACCCCCGCTTCGGTAGCCCGACGACCTGCGCGCGAAGTCGAGCGCTTTACGGTAGCACAGTTTAACGAGGACGAGGACCAATACCGCACACCCTCGGTACCTACGCAGACTGATCCAAGTGTTCACCCAACCACACACTGACCGTAGCCAGTGATGCTTGACTTCGGTGATCTGCTGGGAACCGAATCTTAACGATCAGTTCACTGCGGGACCCTTCATTGCGCATACGAAGTTCAGAACATCCCACACTGGCTCAAAAATTTTCATATCGTTCGTCGCACCAGAGCTGCACAATGGGCTATTGGCGAAGGTTTGGGAAACATCCCTGAGGATGATCCGGAGACAACATACATGCATTACATCCCATTTTACAAGGGATGACACATTCACACACCATCCATCCGTGGATCATAATTTTAACCTGAACTAAAGCATGATCAATTTACTGCTCCAGCACCCTTAGAGATATTGATTTGTTATGTGAACTTGGAGGACTTTGTAACTCAGACAGATTTAGCA